CCAGATCTCGCTGGGGCTCGGCGATGCGAGTGTAGGCCTGTCCGTGTTTTCGAACCAGTTGCTAATTATTTCTGCCATTTTGCTGCCAACTCAGTTTGTCGCCGAGCTGTTTGGCATGAACGTGCCTGTGCCGTTCAAGCCGAACGAGGATACTGGCGAGCATGAGAACCTGCGTGCCTGGATGACAATCATGGGGAGCTGCATTGCCTTTGTCGTGATGTTTGGCGGGTGGGCAAAGTGGAAGAAGATCTTTTAAGCAATCGCGTGCTATGAGTGAATTTATTCATTACTTACAATAACTTTGAAGAAATTCTAATAGCTTTTATGGCTGTTGCGCGCCCACTGCAGCTGTCCCAGAATGTCAACATATCAGCCGAATCAGGTGACAGCAATCCAGGCGCCAACGAGAACCCCGCTACAGCCTACGATATGGAGGTAGAGCCTAGCCTCTGATAAGTTGCACAGACAACCATATTGAAAACTCCCCTACACAACTTATCTATTCCTTTTTCTCTCTGTTCTTCTGTTGGAATTTCAAGATCCTATATCTGTGAACTACATAGTTTTTCATCCTGTTGTCCTTTTTCTTTATTCTTTTTCTTTTTAGCTGTGCCACCTGAGCGATGGTATAAAACCTTTTCACTCGCCTCTCCCTTCCTACTTCTTTTTGGCTTTCTTCATCAATATACACTGGGCAGCAAAATTGAGTCGCAAATATGAAAATCAATAAAAACCATAAATAATTTCTCATAGGGACATGCGTTGCTCTTGACAAAATTAATTTGTGGTATAAGCCATGCACTAATATATTATATGTAGTTGCATGCCTATAGCTCTCGAAATAATCGTGATATTGACTTTTTGAAAAATAAATTTTTGACTCAGTTTTGCTCACAAAAATTTGTCAATTTATTTCTCAACAACTAGCATAGCCACCATAGGATTTTTTGTCCGCAGCGATATGCCTAGGCATCGAGTTGACTAGCCATGAACAAACGGTTTCATTTACTTCCTCATGTACAATTTCCTAGACCAATACAACGTAGGTGCCAAAAACGACATCGTTTTTGGCCTTTATCAGATCATACTCATAATGAAGCCCTATATGTGAGTAGCGCATCGTATCTAGGGGATGCCACTGATCATCGTACAATAGAAACAGCTCACACATCTAGCCAACATATAGCTCAAATTGCTATTTATATAATGAAGACTATTTCAGACATAATCTTTGCACTCTCCTACTGCATATCCTAGGTATGTAATTAAGGTATGTTTTATATCATCATGTGCATACTAGTCAGTGTGTCACATCCCCCTCTACTAAGGAAGCAATGGCAATAGTAGTATGGAGATATATACTGAGCAGCAAAATTGAGTCACAAAAAAAATTCAACTTTTACTTTATCATCATCATCAGATAACGTAGATACTTCTATTCATTATATGTTGGATGGGGCTTAGCATAGTATAACTATATGCAGTCAAAAGTTCGCTAAACATTGTACTTTGTATGATATCAAAGTAATAGTAAAAAAGTAGAAAAATTTAAGTGGTAAAAATTTGACTCACTTTGACTTCATAGAGCTATTTTGATACCATATCCTTTTTTGAATAATGGAGGTTATTCACAATTACTAAACTGGGTAATAATTATTTAAATATTCTAAAGCTATTTGTACTTTTATTATTTTTGCGCTTCTATGAAACCCCCATCAGCATCCTGAAAAATTTCAATTGATTTCTTATGACCTAGCCTCTATCTCAGTAGAAGCATATTAATTGTGCATCAACTGAAATTTTTCAGGATGCCAATGGGGGTTTCGTAGAAGTGCCCTTTCTTATATTTGTATTAATTTGTTAATCTAGCTGTTAATATCTTTTTGGCCATTAGTAATCATTCTGATTTTTAAAATATTTATCTACTACTAGTAATTGATTTTTAATTGCTAATTAGTTATTCTGATAAAAGATACTTAGTTTCTTTAAACATTTATATTTGTGAATGGCCTCCTCTGAGTTTAGAGTAGTGTATCTCTATACAACTATGGTTATTGCTTCTATAGTAGAGGGGGATGTGTAACACTGACCAGTGTGCATATGATGGTATAAAATATATGCTGACCACATACCTAGGATATGCAGTAGCAGAGTGCAAATATTATGTCTGAAGAAGTCTTCATTATATAAATAGCAATTTGAGCTATAAGTTGGCTAGATATATATACTGTTTCTATTGGACGATGATCAGCGGCATCCCCTAGATACGATTCGCTACTCACATATAGGGCTTCATTATGAGTATGATCTGATAAAGGCCAAAATTCATTGTTTTTGGCACCTACATTGCATTGGTCTAGGATATTGTTCATGAGTAAGTAAATGAAACTGTTTGTTCATGGCTAGTTAACTCGATGCCTAGGCATATCGCTGCGGACAAAAAAGCCTATGGTGGCTATGCTAGTTGTAGAGAAATATATCGACGAATTTTTGTGAGCAAAGTTGAATCAAAATATTATATTATAAAAATGTAAATTTCTTGATTATATTAAGAGTGATAGGCATGCAACTACACAAAATAGATTAGAGCATGGCTTATATCACAAATTAATTTTGTCAAGAGCAACGCATGTCCCTATGAGAAATTATTAATGATTTCTGATGATATTTATTTTTGTGACTCAATTTTGCTGCCCAGCATACATGCACATAGAGAGAAGGGTAATTCCGATCCTATCATTGACTCTGATTTCCTGAATACAATAATCTCTGACTCAAGCTCTTCTTTCCATTTGGCCTACTCATTATCACCTAGGCCAGGTGATGACAACATCATCTTGTCATGTCGTAATCAGTCCACAGTTGGACCACAACATGGTCACACATTAAGGGGTTTTATTTGTCTTCCTTTTTTTCTATTACTTCTCTTCTGTTCTTCATCACATGCCGCTGTTCCGTTATCAGGACGGACCGCCCCTGACTATCGCCGGTAGAGTTGATGCCCACGAATGGATTTGTGGCGATGTACCTGGCTCACGATGCCCACCAACAGATGGCCTCTGATGTGTGTACATCAGGTCTATACGGATGCGGGAACACTGTCCCGTGGTCACCTGGCAGCCAATAGCAGCAAGTAGCATACTCCGTTTGCTGAAGTCCATCCTGCCGAACGAGTATAAATACAGCCATGAACAGTGAGCAACATTAAGTTTTATTGTCTATTTTTTAGTATATGATCTCATTAAGGAACAGTTCACTGAGTTATATTTCTATTTAGTTTTCTAAAGTTAGTTATGCCCGTTACCATTGAAGTAGTAGATTACTTCGCAGATTTCCACGAACGAGAGAAAATAGTTTGGTAGTTTACTATTTCACTAGGATACCTGAATTTCCCGCGACCATTATTATTATTATCAATATTATTATTACCGTTTATTCACGGATAGTGTATTCAAGCAAGACCATCGACTACTATGTCTTACGCGCCCGACACAGACAGTGCTGGTGATCGACCCACTGATCAAGCCTCTCCTTCATCCTTTTTAAACCCCAAAATCTTGAACAGTGATTATCTCGGGAATAGCGCTTCAAATCCGCAATGGTCCAGTGGCTAGGATCCGACGCTCTCACCGTCGTGGCCGGGGTTCGATTCCCCGTTGCGGAACTTCTTTTTTTTGCAAAAGCTGTTGAATCCGGTGGCAGTTCACATTTGCCTCTTATTAAAGGGCTGCAAGTGCTTATTTAGCGAGATTGTCTGTATATTGCTTTAAGGGAGCCTGGTGTTTTTTATAGTTGGCGTTATTAACAAATCGGCCAATCTGGTGTTTGTAACTTCTTGTTACTGCCTGTGGAGTGCTCACTTAATCAATGTGAACTTGAATGACTCCCAGTTTTAAGTTAACCCATTCTAAACACTACAGCAATATGCTACTAGCCATTTTTTGTGCATTAAATGTTAAGAGTAAATTATTGTTGATATATTCCAAAGATGCAGTAGGTTGTACTATGTAGTATGATTCCTGCCACTAGGGGGTACCAAGAACTATTTATCAATGCGCTGAGTATAAATAAAGAATTCTAGGGTTTACCACAAGCATAGTTGGTACTGATACTCTATGGAGGTCATTCAGAGTTAGTTATCTGCACAGCAATTATTTATGCATATTAAAACTATTGGCAATTTCAGTGAATTAAAAATTTCACCCAAACCACCATCAGCATCTTAGAAAAGTTTCAGTAAATGTCATTTCCTTGTGGTTGCTTAGCTACATCTAATGAGATATTGACTTTTGTTGCCCAATGATAATTAGCTCCAAATATGCAAAGGTTTTTCTTTCTGGTTGAAATTATGTTCACTGAAATTTTTCTAAGATACTGATAGTAGTTTTGGTGAAATGGCAAAAATAATATTTGTATTTTAGAAACCAATTATATACACAAAAACATTCTGGACACAATAATTATAAATATCTCTGCCAAAAATATCTAGCAGCAAAAAATGGTTCTGAAAATGGTTATTCAAATATCTATCTAACTAAATTGCGAATATCTAAAACTTACAAGTCTAGGAATGACCCCCTATGTTCTAAATATCTTTTACCTAGTTTAGTGATTGTGAATGACCTCTAGTAATTTGTTGTTAGGACTATCTATGGCTTCAGCTAGTGATGCTGAGCAGGGCATCTACTTTATAATGCAACTGGCTGTAATTGCCCTGTACTTTTGCGGCATCTGCTATCAACAGTATTCTATTATACTAGCTGCAGCGTAGTGCAACTGTAATATCTTATGCTGGTTCGGTTAAGCATTTAGTGTGGTAGAGTCAGGAGAAGGACCCTGCTGGCTTGCAATTTGTGCCTGTAGATTGGCTGCGCACATTTCTGCCGAATCGACTGATCGATTAAGACCGCATTAAATCTAAGGCTGACCTCACCACTGATCTGGATTCGCTTTTTCGCTAGCAGTTTCGCTGGCTTGTCTCTTTATCTCCATCACCTCCTGTCCTTTCGAATTCACTGTCGCAGCTGCAGCTGTTTGAATAAACAATTTCCTTGCATAATGACACTGTGCCGGCTGCAGACGCTGCTTCGTTTACCTGTCCACCGACGCCAGCCACTCGCGGTCAAGCTGCTGAAGCGGACATTGATCCAACCGTCGTTTAATTACAAGTATATCCGGGACAATGCAGACGAGCTGCTGGAGAATGCCAAGCAGCGCAACGTACATGACGCACAGCCTCACCGAGTAGGCATTCTGTATGACGAGTTTCGGGATATAACGTCGCAGATCAACGAGCGCCGCAGCGAACTCAATGTCCTATCCAAACAGCTGGCACAGCAAGCCAAGTACAAGGGGCTGCAGGTCAACGCTGAGGAGCACAGGGCGATGATGAGCGATCTGCGGAGTCAGGCTAAATCGTGCAAAACTCTAGTCCAGGAGCTGGAGCGCAAAGTCAGTGGCGTCGAGGCAGAGTTGATGCATGAAGCAGCAAAAATCCCAAACCTGACACACCCGGACACACCAGTGGGTGGCGAATCGAATGCGCGAACAGTCAGAATCGAAGGTTTGCTACACACGGTTGACCGGATACCTAACAACCCAAGCGATCTGTCACATCTGTCCAGTGTCGAGTTCCGCGATCACTACGATTTGGTACGCGACCTTGATATTGTCGACATGCAGGCTGGAGCGCAGGTAGCTGGCAGCAGATTCCACTACTGGAAGGGGGCTGGGGCGCTGCTTGAGCTAGCACTGGTGCAGTATGCAATGACTAGAGCGAGCGCAGCAGGATTCATTCCGCATATCACTCCTGATGTCGCACGCAGCAGTATTGTTGGCGCATGCGGGTTCCGGCCGCGCTCCAGTGCCGAGGAGTTGGAGCTGGACAATGCGCTCAGTGGCGATCTCAAGGCTAAGGATAACAGCCAGCCATCGGGCGAGGCTAGCCAGATCTACCGGGCCATCCCGGTTGCTGAGGAATCGCGCAACGACGATAATAATGACTCCGACCCACTGTGTCTGGTTGCTACGGCAGAGATTCCGCTGGTGGCAATGAAGCAGAAACAGATCCTTGATGGGGCAACACTTCCATACGCAGTGGCCGGACTCAGCCATTGCTTCCGTGCCGAGGCCGGTGCGCGTGGACGCGACACCCGCGGAATCTACCGGCTGCACCAGTTCACAAAGGTCGAGCTGGTATCGCTCGCGTTGCCAGAGCAGAGCCAGACCGAACTGGAGCGCTTGGTGGGCTTCCAGACATCACTGTACCGAGATCTGGGACTGACGTTCCGCATCTTGCAGATGCCTACGCATGAGCTGGGCGCCAGTGCATTCCAAAAGTTTGACATTGAGGCGTGGATGCCTGGACGCAAGGCGTGGGGGGAAATCTCGAGCGCATCAAACTGCACCGATTACCAAGCGAGACGGCTCGGCATTCGTGCTCGTGTGGCTGGCGGGGATGGTGGGCCCCCGGTGTTTGTCCATACGCTGAACGCGACGGCGATTGCTGTACCGCGTTTGGCTGTGGCACTGCTCGAGTCGTTCCAGCGTCCGGGAGGCGAAGTGGTTGTGCCGCAGGTGCTCCGGCCGTGGATGATGGGCATGGATGTGCTCAGGCGGCCGGCTAGCAGCTGATATTAGCAGGGCAGCTAGCAGTTCCTTTTTGGCGCACGCATGTGTAGCCTGCAGCCCAGTGCAGCATGCAGCACATATTGGCAATGCACGGACATGCGCGACATGCCACAGCCCCATGGCATCCGTGTCACCGAGTGGGAGCCGAAAATTTAATCATCCGGCTTCCTGCCAGGTCCCCTCAATGAGGAGTTTTGTCGGACAAGGGAGAGGCGGTTCGGTTTAAATATGCGCTCATCCAGCCCAGTCGCCTGGCCCCAATTGACTTTTTCTCCTCAACTTTAATCTCTGCTCTTCTGCACTAGTGCTGGTAGCTTTTTGGTTTTCGCATATTAATTGACGCCACCCTTCCAGCCAATAATGCCAGTGAGCTCACCAATCGCCAATGTCGCGATTCCAGACCAGGACATCACATCGTACTTCTTCGAGCAGGCACAGCGCCGGGTAGACCGGCTGGGCACGCAGGGCTGCACAGAGCCTGCAATTGTCACCGACGCACAGACCAAAGCGACGCTGCGCTTCTCTGATATCAAGTGCCAGGCACAGGCGAATCGCTGGATTTCTCCGGTCGCTTGGGTTCGGCGGACCGGCTCAGGGCAGTAATCTACCTGACGGGCTCAACGACGTCGCTGCAGTGCTCGCGCCCAACGACATTGCGTTCAGCGCCATCCACTTTGGCACGCTGATTGCAGGCGGCACATACATGGCCGTCAACCCCCAGCAGAGTGTGCAGGCCCTGGCACACCAGCTCAAAGACGTTGACGCGCGTGTTGTGTTCACTACAGCCCACCTGCTCCCGGTTCTGCAGCAGGTATGTGACGCAGCAGGCCTGGACATTCCCACATCCAACATTGTTCTTATCCAGGGCTGCAGCGACGGATTCACAACGCTGGAAACGGCCATTGATGGAGCTGCTGCCATTGAGTCCCACCGAGTCACCAGTCCAGAAGAGCTTAACCGGGTTGCACTAATCGTATACTCGTCGGGAACGACCGGCAAAGCCAAGGGCATCATGCTAACGCATCGCAACATCGTATCCATGTACGTCATGGTAGGGCGGATACTCTGCGCGCAGCCACGCACATGGCGACAGCGACTCTGCTGCCAGTGTTCAACCACAGAGCTAATGTTTTGTCAGCCTTGCCGCTGTACTTCCTGTATGGCCATTGTGTGCTGTGCTACCAACCGCTGACCAGCGGCGACCTGATCGTACAAATGGCTGGGTTTGAGCTCGACCCGTACCTTGCAGCCATCGACTCATACAAGATCAATCGGCTGAGCCTGACGCCGGCAGTTTTATACGACATCGCAGCAGGGATTACAAAGATAGGTAGCATTGCACAGTCAGCAGCAACTGGAAACAGGTACGACATTGGCTCTGTCAAGGATGGTCGGGTGTGGCGGGGCGTCCGCTTCCGCATGCGCTGAAGAAGTCGTACTCGCAAGCTCCTCAATGGGTCGCCGATTATCCAGGGCTATGGCATGGCCTGAGTCGACGTCGATAATCGCCGGCAGTTCCTGGGCCACGCCGTGTGAGGGTGCTGTTGGAGTGCTGTATCCGAACAGCTCAGCCATGGTCATTGGCACTGACGGACAGGAAACTGGTGGGTTTGGTGAAGCTGTGTGTGAGTGGACCCCATGTGATGCATGGGTACGTCAATACTGCCACGTCACCAGTTGCCAGCGGCTTTTTGCGCACAGGCGACTATGCACGCGTGAGCACCGATGGCCATGTGTTTTTGCGTGGACGAATTGCCGACATAGTGTATACAGCAGAGGGAGCCGTGGTTCCTACCGATGTGGAGAATGCTCTGGCCGAACTGCTCGCTGGTCAGGGATTGCGCTGTCAAGGGCGAGGGCCCGAAGGGTTTCGGCGATGCCCGTCGCCTATATCGTGCCCAGGGAGGCTGCTGCTAGCGACAATACGCTGCAGCAGATATCCCAGTGGGCCAAGACGCACACAGGAGTCGCCGTCGAGTGCAGAGCGGTCGAGGCTATCCCGAAAAGCCCTGCAGGAAAGGTGCTCCGCTATTTGCTGGGCCAGGCAAGTGCGCAGTAAAGCACCGCCAAGAGAGCTAGAGTTCGAGAACCAACTTCGCTGTCTTGGCTGTGCCGGTTGTGTGGCCAGAAATAAGCACTTACTGCTGGCTGGAAGGCAGGGCCAGCAGCAGGGCTGCGTGCCTCCGCATCCTCTCCAGGCGTCTAGCAGCTGCACGTTGCCTCTTCCCAGCCTCATTGCCCGCCTTTTTGCTAGTATACAGCTTTCACTTTAGGAATTCACCATTTTCGTACTCTCATTTCTGCGTGCATGGCCCGTGTAGAGACCGCAACCTGTATGCAAGGGACGCCAGACTCGCTGGGCCACTGTGCCGGGCTTGCCAAGCGCTTACTCACTGACAGCCCTGTCAAGCTCCCGCTCGCCAGTGAGTCCACCACAGCCGCACGGCCAGAAGCATGGTCCAGCGTCCGAGTCTGCCGCAGCTCTGGGCATCAACCGGCGAACCCCCAGTTCAGCACATAGGCTCCACAGGAGCAGAGACAGAAACCGAGCCGCTGGTTTTCGATCCCGAACCTGAGGTTCTGGAACTGTCGCGGCAAGGCGGACTAGCAGGCATCGTGCAGCCGGTAGCTGCAACAGTGTTCACAGCCCTGATATTTGTGCTGCCCGTTCTTTTCATTCTGGCCTTTGTATATCTGCCGTTGCTGCGCATCCCGCTCGCACTGTATGTAGTATTCTGCTACAACGACCCGGCCATCAGCAATGGGGTAGGGCGCCCAGCATTGTGGGTGCGGCGCTTGGGTATATGGCGGCACATCAGTGCGTACTTCCCGGTGCGTGTGGTGCTGGAGCAGCGCCTGGATCCGAAGCAGTCGTATCTCCTGGGGATTGCGCCGCATGGCATCCTGGCCTTTGGCGGACAGGTCGCAGTGGGGGCGCAGAGCAGCGCCCTGTACCGTGCACTGGAAGGGACCACAGTGCATGTAGCTGCACTCCGTCCAGCATTGACACTGCCAGTATTCCGCGACTACCTGCTGGCACTGGGAGCGATTGCATCGTCGCGAGCGGCGATCCGCGAGTGTTTGGCGCGGGGAAAGGGACACAGCGTCGGGATCGTTGTGGGCGGTGCCAAGGAGAGTCTGTATACAAACCCAGGCCACCGCAAAATTGTCATGCGCCATCGCAAGGGATTCGTGCGGGAGGCCATCATGGCTGGCGCTCCGCTCGTGCCTGTCTACGTGTTTGGCGAGAACGATATCTTCACACAAGTCATGCACCCGCCATTGCGCAGGCTCCAAAAGTGGCTGCAAACAAAAGTCAAGTTTGCACTGCCAGTATTCTACGGCCGCCTTGGCATGGTGCCGCGCCGCTCTCCGCTGACCGTTGCTATAGGAACGCCAATTGCTGTGCCCAAGATCGAGGCACCGACTGCAGATGAGATAGACCGTGTTCATGCTGACTTCATCCTTCAAATGGGCCGCCTGTACTCCAGGTTCCAGCCCATATATGATCCGCAGGGCGGAGACCTTGTAATCATCTAGTGCTCAGCTAGTTTATCCGTGCTATTTGTAATACTACAGCTCTACTTCTTCGTCCAAGTATTCTATCATGAAGCATCCGCCTGGATCTCTTTTGTGGAGCAGGACTCGTAGACCAGTACAGGCCCTGCGGCAGTTTAGTCGCAAGCCAAATGACACGCAGCGTGCTGCTGCACATAGCAGCCGGAAGGAGCAGTTTGCTGTATACCGGATCGATACCAACGGCGTCCAGCATCCGCTGCAGAGAAAGTACAACACGCGGGCGGAAGCAGAGCGCATTGCCTCCCACTACGATAGTCTTGGGCACAAGAACGGGTATTTTGTCAAGCGTGTCACTGGGGGCTAGAATAGCTGGCACATGAGCTGCTGTGGTCGCATCATTTCCTAGACCTTTCGTCAATGGCAGACCGAAGCTCGTTCAACATGCTGTGGATGTCGTTTCTGCGCTCGCGCGCCTCGATCTCGCCCTCACGTTTCTGGCGTTGCAGCCGGATACGCTCACTGCGGTCAAGGAGCTGCGGTTTTCTGTTAGAGCTCTGCCCACGCGACTCCTGGATCGCTGGATCGGCCTCGAAGGTTTGCTCAGGAACATCCAAGTCGTTCAGGTCAAACCCCGAGTACCCTAATACGCGTGCACCACCGGAAATATCGTGTTGGTCAATCACACAGTTTGTGCTTTCTCTGGAGCTGCTCGACGCCTGTGGCCCCTCACTACCATCGCATGTCAAGACCGTCAGTGCTGCCTGGTATTGGGCATTGAGGGTGTCCAGTTCTGCCTTTAGTGATGAAAACAGCCGGGCTGTTGCTTCTGGGCTAGGTCGGTTTACCGCACCGCTGTTCAACTCCTGGCACCCGTCATCATCCAGCCCAATGCTTTCACGGCAGACTATCATTTTCGCCCTAAGAGTATGCAGGGATTCTGACATGGCACTGAGCAGCCGAAGCAGCGGGTGTTGGCTAAGCGTGCGGTCAGACTTGATATCCATCAGCAATGCCCACTGTGCCGAGGTATGCGCCGAATTTTCGACCTTCCGTATCATGTCTACACCCTTTTCTGATGCAGCTCTGATATGTGCAAACATGGCCAGTGCCTTTCCCGAAAGTTCACTCCGCAGTGCTGCAGCGGAGTTCATCGTGGGTAAGGACAGTGGCTCGGCAGTGTCAAGCACTCGCTGCAGCCATCGCCGGCGTAGACCAAAGTGCAGCTCAAACCGGGCCCGTAGTACTTCGAGTGGCAGCCCGCTGTCGCTAAAATCGGTGTGCTGGGTGAACTTTTCTCTGGTTTGCGATAGTTCAAGCAGGGTATCCTGGTCGGCAACCTGCTCAACAGCTAATGCAACCGCGTCAAACGATTCGCGCAATGCCTCACCAACTGCAGTGCGTAGGTATACTGCAGTGCGCATGGCTCCACGGCCTGGTCGGGCATCAACACCAGGTATGGAGCTGGGTGATGCCCAGCGAAACCCACGAGCTACAAGCTCAGTCTCCTGTACCAACCGCAGCGCGCGCTGTATCGCTACGTCTAGCACACGGCTCGATTGACACATGTCCGCAAGACTGTCAATATACTCGGCTCGATGTGCTGCTGCTATTTGACTGGAGTACTTGTGCCATGATGACCAAACGACTGCAGCAGCTATGAGTGCACTCAGGGCCATCAGAGCTGGCCGTACGCTGCTTCTAGTCCTGAATAGGACAGCGGCACCAAGCACCAACGGCCCAACCGTATGCTTGGCTATGTCGTTACTACGACTGCTGCGCGGTCTTAGATCGCCCAATTGCTGGCTAGGCATATCAGTGGCATGCATGTGGCTAGTACACTGAGCGGCAAAATTGAGTCACAAAATTTTTTCTTCAGAAAATGCCTGATTTAGGAAAAATTAGTAATGCGATACCCTTAATAGTGGGGTATGCATATCACTTGCTTGCAATGATGAGTACTGTTAAAGATTTATGTTTTTAGAATGTTGCACTCCTTTGTAATTAGTATCTTTTGAAAAAGCAGTAATTTTTGGTAATGCTCATTTTTGACCTTTACTAATTTCGATAGTTAGTTTTATGCCCACAACATCAAAGGAATAATTCCAAATTTTAGCCATCGATACAACAGCATTCTCTCTTCCACATCCATACCTCAGTCCCTTTCTAGCTATGCGTAAAAAACTACAGTCACCACAAAAAAACATGTCCAATATCTTCTATCAAAACCCCTATCAAGTCGGCAAATTGCATTGAGCATAGGAGTTCCTCTCTATGTTACGTTGTGCTTGAGCAATGCGTGATACAATGGATTGGGAGACCCCTATGCTCAATGCAATTTGCCGACTTGATAGGGGTTTTGATAGAAGATATTGGACATGTTTTTTTGTGGTGACTGTAGTTTTTTAGGAATGTCTAGAAAGGGAATAAGATATAGATGAGGAAGAGAGAATGCTGTTGTGTTAATGGCTAAAATTTGGAATTATTCCTTTGATGGTGTGGGCATAAAACTAACTATCGAAATTAGTAAAGGTCAAAAATGAGCATTACCAAAAATTACTGCTTTTTCAAAAGATATTAATTACAAAGGAGTGCAACATTCTAAAAACATAAATCTTAAACAGTGGAGGCCATTCACAAATATGAAAGTATAAAGAAACTTTTTATATTGTATCAGAATAACTAATTAATAAATAATAAATCAATTATCAGCTGTTGACAAATATCTTAAAAATCAGTATGTTTACTAATGGCCAAAAAGATTCTAGCAACTAGATTAACAAATAAACAAAAAAGTAAGAAAGGGCACTTCTCCAAAACCCCCATTGGAGGTCATTCAGAGATAGTTATCTGCACAACAATTATTTGTGCATATTGAAACTATTGGCAATTTCAGTGAAATAATAATTTCACCCAAACAGCCATCGGCATCTTGGAAAAGTTTCAGTGAACATAATTTCCTTGTGGTTGCTTAGCCACATCTATTGAGATATTGACTTTTATTGCCCAATGATAATTACCCCCAAATATGCAAAGTTTTTCTTTCTGGTTTAAATTATGTTCAGTGAAACTTTTCCAAGATGCCGATGGCGGTTTGGGTGAAATGGCAAAAAAAATATTTGTATTTTTATAATCAATTATACACATAAAAACACTCTGGACACAACAATTATAAATATCTGTTCCAAAAATATCTAGTAGCAAAAAATGGTTCTGAAAACGATTATTTAATTATCTATCTAATAAAATTGTAATTTACTAATATTTACAAGTCCAGGAATGACCCCCAAAGTATCTACCCCAAATATTGCAATAGCTAGTTCATTGTTAACAGTGATGTTTGCTACTATGGCTGATCACAAAATATATCTACAGAATTATGACATCACAATGGATTGTATAAATATCTCATCTAGAAATATTATCTATAAATACCTTTTAGAAAGAGGAGTTGAAAAGAAAGATGTTGTAGATGATTTACACAAGTCTGGCTCTAACTGCATTAGCTGGTTTACAAAGAAAGGAGATGTTAAAGTTAAGAACAAAATTTACAACAAGTTTATTCAACTTCTTGAGAGTGGTGAAGTTCGTAATCCTCTTAGTTCAAAACTTTCTGAATTTGTAATGCCAACTTTGCACAACTTTGGAGAAACATTGTATGCTTGCAGAAACTCTGGTTTGACTAGGATAGAACTAACTGTACATTCTTCTCAGATGCAAACATTTAAATGGAATAGCAACTTGCTTCTTAACACAGTTCAGTTCATGAATGAATGCAGAACATTTGCAACTTCTTATGAAAAGCAGTGGATGGCACTTGTTGATAAGGTTAGTAGTTGTTATACAGTTTGTATTTATGTGAGACAACAGCATACTCTAGCATATTGTCATTTGTTTAAGGGGGTCATTCCTGGACTTGTAAATTTTAGATATTTGCAATTTACTTAGTTAGATATTTGATTAATCGTTTTCAGAACAGTTTTTTGCTACTAATTATTTTTATCATGGTTAATATTAATTATTGTGTCCAGAATGTTTCTGTGCTTATAATTGATTTTAAAAATACAAATATTTTTTTTGCCATTTCACCCAAACCGCCATCGGCATCTTGGAAAAGTTTCAGTGAACATAATTTCCTTGTGGTTGCTTAGCCACATCTATTGAGATATTGACTTTTGTTGCCCAATGATAATTAACCCCAAATATGCAAAGTTTTTCTTTCTGGTTGAAATTATGTTCACTGAAACTTTTCCAAGATGCCGATGGCGGTTTGGGTGAAATTTTTATTTCACTGAAATTGCCAATAGTTTCAATATACACAAATAATTGTTGTGCAGATAACTATCTCTGAATGACCTCCTAACTCTATCACATCAAAGAAGCAAGGAATTATTATTAAGCTAAATAAGAATGATGATCCAATGGTAGTTGTAGCTAATCTTTCATTCAACAATAGACCTACACTTTATCAAATATATGATTCACTTGAGAGTGGTCTTGAAATAGAAAAAGTTCTTAAAAGAGTTGATGAGAATATAACTATTGTTCCAAGTTAGAGAAACTCCTTCTGGTCAACTTATCCTACAACTAAGCAGTATCATACTTTTGAAGAGATGGGATTAGTTAACTACAAAGGAATGCATATTGGTTGGATAGATAGCAAGCAAGCAAAGAGTAAGATATGTCTATCAGAAATGTCAGAGGTTGATTATTCTGTAAAAGAGGAAAACATCAATGCATTAACAACAGCAATAGACAATATCACACTTGATGAAACTAGCCATATATTTATCAAAGAGAATACAGATCTGAAACCATCATTGTATAGAGTTGCTTACAATGTTCTTCAATTAGATGATGAATTTATAGTTACACATTATGCACTCCATACTTTTAGAGGACATTCATACTTCTATGTTGATATTCATATTAAAGGGAGAGATAAACAGCCAACTCTTATTAGGATACCAGCTGACAGTTCTATTGGAAATGCAATTTCTCAATAGCTAGGAGGAACAAAGCAACAAATACATCTAAGAGTTGTAAGTGTGGGATATAGAACAATCACAGTTGAATAG